CGGTTTAAGGCTCTTTTTTTCTAGAGTCCATCTCTACATTTATACAAAGCAGTAGTCTGCATTAGGAAGTGTTTGCCATCAGCTACCACACAGTGGTATCTAAGAACACAGTTTCACCTTCTATTTAGACTAGGAAAGCATTCTGTAAATGTGTGGTGTCTTTTGGCAAATGCTGACTTTTTTTGCTGGAGACCACTATGTTTCAATAATTACAGACTTGCATATGTGACCAAATATTTCAATCATCTGTATAACAATATAGAGGACCAGATTTATAGGAAAGAGCAACACAAGGAATGTCACTTTACATACCATCCATTCCCCTTAGGTTGCACATTTTTGGGGGAAAGTTTTCCTTTTTGATCTTCTGTTGCAGTGATTCCTATGCTGTGGTCTGTAGAACACTTACTGGTGGTCCACCAAGAGCTGGCTAGTCTCAATGTGCTGACTCTCTTCTTTGGCTCAAGCTCAGAAACAGAAAAGATGGAAAAGGGCAATGAAATGAATAGAATAAACAAATAGATTAACTTTAGTCAAAAAGGAAAAAGCATTTATTACACTAAAGACAGCCAAAATACTTTCCTAATATTTTTCCAGTCTCAGTGCTGAAGTTGCCATGGGGACATTATATGATTGTGGATAGGGTAGGAATTGGTACAGGTGATTACAAATGTACATAGAGGTTGACCACGAGACACACTCATGATGATGTGGCTCAATCCCTGCTCTATTCCATGTTCCGCACATCACTCTATGCAACACTCTATGCAACAGTATGGATGGAAGAGGGGAAATTTTCCCTTAACCTCAGGGAGGTTAGAATTAGCTATAGAGCTTGACAATTTTGTCAGATAAATGCTTTCCCCTACTTTGCATCTTCTGTAGACTTTTTCCATCTGTGTGAAGTGTGTGTAAAATGCTGCTATTCTGATTTGCACATGTATAATTGTGTACATAAGGTGTATGCAGTAATGAATAGGACCCTTAGCTATATTTTGTTTATGGAAACACTAGAAATAGCAGAGGCAGACATTTAGATTTGTGTATATGCAGACAGATATTTTTTAAAGGAATCTAGTGAAGTTAGGCACCTGTTTTCCATGGGATTTCGATATGTAACTCCCTTAGGCTCCTTTGAAAATTCCAGCCTTAAATCACATCTGTATGGCTCAAGGACTAATCTTCTAATGCACAGCAGTGATTTCTTCTCTTGAATAGTTAGTACAGCTTCTCAATTTAGAACTGGGCAGAACCTCAGGTGAAAATCATCTTGAAGCTTTTTGGACAATTGTCATTTCTGAATTATCTGGTATGTTTAGCCAGATTTCATATATTCCTCTCATCACTGAATAGCTCCTGTTCTTGATCCTCTCTGACTTTCAGATTTTGATAACTGAGGGGTGTTAGGCAACCTGGGATTTCTAAATAGTATCTTGAACTACAAGAAATATAACAGCTAAACATTCAGGACAATTCACCCTGGCCTGCCATAGAGGAAAGGGAGTAATGAGGGAGTGTCTACAGAAAAGAACAGAGGCCTTTTGCCTCATTCTTGTCTTACATTAAATATTTGAGAACTATGTCTGTCCTTTCCTCACTGCTACAAAGGCCAGGTGTTCGTAACCTAAAACATAATAGTATCTTGGAAAACTATGACACATCTTAATTTCATGGGAGCACTCATTAATAAGTAATGTTTAAATAGGGTATCTTAAAAGAAGTCCCACTATATTGGGACTAGTCTACTATTCAGCAAAAAGTCAGAGGCAGTACCATACCAAAAGATATATAAATGTACTTACAGCAAACTCTGAAACATGTAGCAACTACTGGAGGAGAAACACATTGGCTGGTAAAATAAAGTTATATAAGGTATGCATATTAAGGGAGAAAATATGGCAGTATGATTTTACACAATTTTCCAGGTTTTAATATGTTTTATAAATACTAAGGAAGCTGGAGTAACTTGTGGATTTAAGCCAGCTTTTTCTTTTTCTTTTTATGATTACAAATAGAAGGTAGCATCAGAGGAATAGAACTAATAAGTGAAAGGTAAACTATTATCTGGGATATATTCAGTGTAGCTCTGGGCTAGTTACCTTTGTGTCTTCCTCCCCCTCTCACTCCCCGCATGAATGCAGTGACATGGGAGCCATAAAGGTTTCAGCTATATGATTCCATGAGTAATAAAGTATTTTAGTAAATTCAAAGTCAAATAGATTTTGAAGTTCTGATTTTGCTTCCTTTAGTGTTTCATGTTGTGTGCAATTTTAGTACACTTCTAGTACACTTATTGTTAAACCACAAGCCCAACATTTGCAATAGGTATGGTGTATTACAAATACCTGGTTGAGAGTTTCTCACACTAGTTCCACTGAACTCTGTGGCTGCTTTTACCTCTGCAAAGAGTGAGGATACTGCAAGTGATGAGCGCTGCAAGTGGGAATTGTCATGTTATATGTGCTTACTCTGCCCAGGAACACTTGCTAATTTCATAAGGTTACTAATTAACAATATTTCTTTTGCCAACTCATGCCTCTAACTTTTTATTTCCTTTTTTTTCAGGACAAATAAGGGAATACCTTTAGATTGGATTTATGGTTATTACATACCAGACTCCCCACAACTCTTGTAGTTTTAGAATATTCTGTATGAGTTGTGACTGTTTAGATAAGGATGTTTATTAGTTCAGAATAGCAGGTCAAGGTTGGATTGCACTGGCAAAACTGAGAAAATTTCCCAGTGCCTGTTCTTACTGTGCCTGGCTCAGCTCAATGCCTTCAGCTCCTCACTTTATTGAGCCCTAATGTTGCCCAGTGTGCTATGTGGGTACTTTACAGACACCACATCGTTGTTTTTTGTTTTTATGAAGGATGATGTCCTAGGAATGTTTTTATTTTTATGTGCTTGGGACAGTATTTCCCATAGCTCCTCTTCTGTATGCAGATCATCCGAGTGAAATCCTGGTCCTGTTGAAATCAGTGGCACTTCAATAGGGCCATGATTTCACCCCAGGCATGTAGTTCCTGCCCGTGATCTTAAATCAACAAGGTCCTGCCCTGGCTGAAATCCACAAGGTACCCCCCCCACCCCATCTTCCCTAGTATTTGTAAACAGACATAGGAGGCCAGTGTGAGAGCTTTGTCAAAGGCCTGATCTCCCATCTCTTCCTCTCCCTGTTGTAGAAAAGTTCTGTCAACTTCAAAGATCCACTTCTTCCGTCATTTGCTTGTGTAAATGATACTAGGATTCAGTCAACAGAAACGTTGCAACTTGTACAGAAATGAATTTTATTTTGATACTGAAACGATCTATCAAATCATTCACCAGCAGTTTGGTTCATTCAGTAGCTGCATTTAGCAAAATTTCTTCTAAGGATTTGCAAGGACCTTTTAAAGGGAGGCTGTTAAATTAAAACTCACACATCTGCCTGAAAAAATATTTAATTGCTAATTTTACAATATCTGTAAATGGAAATTCTCTTTTTTTCCCCAGTTCATTTACTTTTTGCATATTTGTAGAACTAGTTTTGTTGTTTGCTCTGTACAGTCAGGTAGGTCCCGATTTTACAAGCAGCTCTTTGCACATGGACCCCTGAAAGAGAGCCCCATTGAAGGTCCAGGTGGGCACGTGAGTCCATTGCAGAGAGTAGCTTGTAGGATCGGGGCCTGTGTGAGTTTCCTCTGTTTTCATGGGGTTTTGCAGAGGGGTTGGAGGGAGGGAGACAGACAGACAGACGCATGCGCGCACACACACACACGACTGTATAACTACTGAAAGTGGCAGCAGGTGTAGTAACTGAAACTACTTTTAACTTATTTTTTATACTGTTTGGATTATGAGAGGATATTTAATTGTCATTCAAGCATAATGTGCACATAAGACAATCTCCATAAAGTGTAGTATTTGCAAAGTAATTACAATAGAACAGATTATTGGAACATATTGATTATTTTAAGTGTACAACTACAGTTTGCAGCTATACACCAAAACTGCAGCTGCACCAGACGACGTAATATTGCAAATGAACGATTTATAGTTTTATGCCTATAAAATTTGCATACCCTTAACATTCCAACTTATCTGCAGTACTGATAGTTACAAACCACTAGATAATTGACACATACAATTTTAACTTACTTGATAAACTTATACTTTTAATCAATATTTTTCTTAGCTAGAACAACAAACAAGCCTAAAGATATGTACAGAATGTCTACAGAATAGTGGGATAGCAGTTAGTGACTCATGCACCTGGAAGTAGAACATCAGTCCTCTTCCACAACCACCTCCTCTGAGCACAAATTCCTCCCAAGATTAAATACCAAGGCATACTTCTATCAGCCCCTTCATAGGCATGGATTTCAGCAGACAGTCTGCCCCCTTTTGTTCATCAGTTGTCAGTGAAGTGGTATAGCTCACTGTTCCTTATCTATGTATTTATGCTAGTAAAGCCCATAATTATTCAACAGCCTTGTTACTGACTATTTTTCCCCCATGGGAATAATCTTTCTTATATTAATATTCCTGGATATATCCTGCCCTTTCTGAATATGCTTATTTTCTTGTCTCAAAACATGGCCATTCTCAATGCTACTGAAGTGCTGGCTTCCTTCTACAGGCGTGTTTGCTGCAGTAATGCATTCTAATTTGGTCTGTATTGATCTTCATTTCTTCTGAACAAAATGGAAAAATGTTTATGAAAACTAATTTGCACTACAGTCATCTAATTATTAGGGCTTATATATACTAACGTAGCATGTCTATTAAGGTTAATGAGCATTACTCTGTGTGCCCTTACCAAGGGGAGTATAGACCCTAAATGCTTTCTCTAAGTTCCTCTTCATTAACCTCGATATTATACAATTATAGTTGTCAACCACTTTTCCCCTTCAAATACTTTTATTAACAGATTTTATACAACCAACATTTTAGTGTTCTGTGCTTGGAAAACAGACTGATGTTCAGTATGACAAAAATAATGTCTTTTTCCGTTATAGGAGTACACAATAGATGTTTTCTTCCGTCAAAAATGGAAAGATGAGAGGTTAAAGTTTAAAGGCCCAATGAACATCCTTCGACTGAACAACTTAATGGCTAGCAAAATCTGGACCCCAGACACATTCTTTCACAATGGGAAGAAGTCAGTAGCTCATAACATGACAATGCCAAACAAACTACTACGAATCCAGGATGATGGAACTCTCTTGTATACCATGAGGTACATTTATTTACATGGCTTTTCTGAAGAATAATGCTTTATGCCTTACTCCAACTGGAGATGTGGAGTTCATTTTCACAGTCAGTACAATTCATTAAATATGTTCAAAGAAAATCATATAAAAGTAAGTCAGAGTTTTCTGGAAATTGTTATACAATGGTTTTAAACTGACCAGTACAAGTAACAGCATTACAATAGAATATGGAAATAGAAAATTACATATCATTTTCAGTCTCCAGGCTACTCTTTTGCTTCACTTGTGGCCTCATGGATACAACTCTGGACTGATACTCAGGAGACCTAGGTCATAGTCTCATTTCTATCACTGGCCTGCTGGGTGACCTTGGGTAAGTCACTTGCCCTCCCTGTATATCAGTTTCCCAAACTGTAAAATGGGGATAATGATACTAATCTCCTTTGTAAATTGCTCTGACATCTATGGATGAAAAACGCTGTATAAGAGCTAGGTGCTAACAATTTACCAACTTCAATGACCAGCTGGATAGTACAGTGATTAAACTGGCACGTGATTTCTAGTAAACATCTTGTTACTATACAAATTGTTTGTGTGTAACTGACAGTGATTTGATGGAGTTAAATGATATTGGTCCATTGATCAGATTTAGTACCCAGATTATTGACTAAGAGAAATGAGGAGGGAGAAAGATTGGCTTTCAAAGTCCTGCCAAACAATAACTCCAGGCAAAACTATATCTTAATTAATAACATTCTTTGTATCCTATTAAAACATTTTTTTAATTTAATGTTTTATTTTTACATCCTATGTATGATCAGTTTCTAAGAAAATGCAAAGTTATCCTTAGGGAAAAAAAATGTACCTAAAGAGACAATTTGGTTAGAAAATTAGTAAGAGCAAAACATAACCTTCTGTTAGAAAGTGTCTCAGTACGATGGGCAATTTGCTATTTACATATTCTATTGCAATGCTCTTACTTTTACTGGTCAGTTTAAAATAGGATTGCCAGGTGTCCGGTTTTCTACCAGAATGCCCAGTCGAAAAGGGACCCTGGCGGCTCCGGTCAGCACCTCCGACCAGGACATTAAAAGTCCGGTCGGTGATGCTGCGAGTCTAAGGCAGGCTAGTTCCTACCTGGCATCGCGCTGTGTCCTGGAAGCAGCCAGCAGGTCTGGCTCCTAGGTGGTGGTGGGGCCACAGGACTCCTCACGCTGCCCCTTCCCCAAGCACCAGCTCCACACTCCCATTGGCTGGGAACCACAGCCAATGGGAGCTGTGGAGGTGGTGCCTCTGGGAAAAAGCAGTGCGTGGAGCCGTCTGCCCCCCTCCCCCGCCTAGGAGCTGGACCTGCTGGCCACTTCCAGGGCGCAGTGTGGAGCCAGGACAGGCAAGGAGCCTGCCTTAGCCCCGTTGTGCTGCTGACCAGGAGCCGCCCAAGGTAAGCCCGTGCCCCAATCCTGAGCCCCAACCCCCTGCCCCAGCCCTGAGACCCCCACCAAACCTGGAGCCCCCTCCTGCACTCCAAACCCTGCACCCCCAGCCCAGACATATCCTCTCCTGCACCCCAACTCTCTGCCTCAATGCACAGCCCCCTCCCGCACTCCAAATCCCTTGGCCCCATCCCCCAGCCTGGAGCCCCCTCCTGCACCCCAAACTCCTCATCCCTGACCCCAGTCCAGAGCCCACACCCCCAGCCCAGAGCCAGTACCCTCTCCCGCACCCCAACCCGGAGCCCCGTCCTGAACCCTGAACCCCTCATTTCTGGCCCCACCCTGGAGCCCGCACCCCCAGTTAGATCCCTCACCCCCTGTCCCAGCCCAGTGAAAGTGAGTGAGGGTGAGGGAGAGCGAGCCACCAAGGGAGAGGGAATGTAGTGAGCGGGGGGTGGGGGCGGGGCCTTGGGGAAGGGGTGGGACCGAAGGTGGGGCTTCGAAGAAGGGGTGGAGCTAGAGTGTTCAGTTTTGTGCAATTAGAAAGTTGGCAACCCTAGTTTAAAACCATTGTATAACAATTTCCAAAAACCTCTGACTTATTTTTAAATGATTTTCTTTGAACAAATTTAATGAATTGTACTGATTGTGAAAGTGGACACCATCTCCCCAGCTAGAGTAAGGCATAAATCATGAACCAGAAAGCAATCAGGCACTATGCAGTCTTATAGCTCTGTCAGTGCTCCTTAATCCTGATTTGCTGTACAGCTGCCAAGCAGTTACACTTCTGAGTCTTGATAAATAGACTGCTAATGATATTGAATTATGTGATGGTTTGAAGATGCATAGAAAAGTTTACTAGAAACTAAATTGAGGCCATCACCATTTATAGTATTTTCACTTGTGATCAAATCAATATTTGAATCCATGTTTGTGTTAACTGATTGAAATGTCAGCCATCCAGAAACTTGTCTTTAATCCTGTGCTGCAAATCAAAGAAAATGCCGTTTCCCCCCAATTTGAAAAGATTAAAAAAAGAGACAGCTAATATAAACTGATAGATTATGCCAGATAAAATTAATCATGCAATTGTGTACGATTATAAATCGACTACTTAGAGGTACGTTGCTCTTGAAGCTGTGAAATTCATGTCTTAAATTACTTTCATTTTATAAATTCAGAACTGGCCATTGTACATGTACATGTCTCAAATTACCGTATGATTAATATAAGCCTTCTGCTTAACTTCTGACTATGAATCTTGAGAAAATAAAGCTAAATGAAGCACTAAAGCTATGTAATGGAAAATAAGGTGCCTGCTTTAATATAGACAGTTTTGTTTTTCAGTCTGTGATTACTAGAATTTATTCTTTTCATGACTTACTGTACCTAGAGACGGTCTATATTGGGGACCTGTCCATTCATGCAATTCAGTGTTTAATCAAAACTAATCCAGATGAAAAATCTGAGAGAAATTATTTCAGATGTTTTAAGATTATGTTTATTCTTGAGTTTGATATAAGCACGTTCGCTCAGGACATTCCATGTATTTATTGTTAATGTTTTGGCATTCGTGTATGCACTGTAGTAAGCTGAGGAATGAGAAGAGCCATGTTTTTGAAAATGAATGCATTTTTTTCACACTTTCCATTTAAGAAGTAAAAAATAAAAAAAGGGTTCAGAGGCTAGTGGAGCACATTCCTTATGCAAATCAGCTATGCTTTATGTGCTTTTGTAACAAATTATTAGGAGCCATGCAACATGTGCCTCTGAATATTAGGAGAAGAAAATGACTATGCTGAACAACCCACAGTTATATAATTTATATTTTCATTTAAATGACCTTTTCTCATAGTTTTGAGGTCATCTGTAAGTTTTTGATGTGATAAATCAATGTATTCTGAAGGACCACATAAAAGTGAAGAAGGAAGAGGTGATTTAAATTTTAATTAGTTTAATATAACACTACAATTTCATCTCCTAAATCAGCATGAACTCTGTTCATTTTTTGTAGAATTGATTTTCTTGTCTTGTTAACTGACTTAAATATGTAGTGTTCTTTTGCCTTTTAGGCTTACAGTCCAAGCTGAATGTCCAATGCACTTGGAGGACTTTCCTATGGATGCTCATTCATGCCCGTTGAAATTTGGCAGCTGTAAGTACATAGCTAGAAGTATAGCCGTTGGCTAATGAATATCTTGTGTGGTTCAACATCACTTTGTTTCACAAATTGTCATTGCCCAGATTTCTGTAGGTACAGAAGGTTATACTGTGTCATGTATTTTGACATGGTGAGATCTTTTTCAGTGTTCTATCCTGTAAGGCATTTGAAAAATTCCTGGACTCTGCTTTAACTAAAAATATTGTGGGGCTAATTTACTACTGCATTGTTCCAGTTTTATGCTAGTGTAACTCTGTTGTTTTCAGTAACACAGTAGTGAATCAAGACCTATGTGTATGGAATATAAATATTGTATTTATACAAAGAAAACTAAAGCTTTCTAAACAAAGATACGTATTCAAAAATATATCTCTGAAGTTTCTAAAGATTCTAATTGGCATAGTTTAGATTGCAGTGCATTTACTCTCTTAATGGTATGTGTTGTTTCATTCTTAGTCAGTGAAGGCTGCAGCAAATGACTTATTGAGATTAAAGTTACAGTGTACATTTTGTAATTTAATATGTAGGGTCTGATCGTGATCTCACTTACACCACTTTTATACCAGCATAACTTCATAAACTTCAGTGGCATAACTCCTGTTATAAGTGAGATCAGAATCAGGCCCATGATTTATAATAGCTGGGGATTTTTAAATATTGTATCTATTTCCTTGGTTTCTTGCCCTTATTTTCCTTTAAGAAATAGCAGCAGATTCACTGCTGAGCACAAAAGAGAAGGTGAACTTCAAGGGGTTGGTTACTGTTATCTGATTCTCTGCTGATTTCAGACTGGCCTAATAGAGAGCCAAGCAATACAAAGCAAGCAACCCCCACATTCCACCAGGTGGTAACTAAAGGGGTAATTTTGTTCATAAGCTGGGCATTGTCAGAGCCCTGTACACTCTGATGATGCCTCTGATGTGTATGGGGAAAAGACATAGGAATGGGCTGCACTAGGTCTATGCCCTCTGGGATCATCTCCATGTGCGGGGAATCCCCGGTTGCAGAGATACAAGTATCTTTTATTCCTTTTTGCACTGAAATAGAAGGGGCTAGAGATTCTGGTCTGATTTTATTTAACTATAAATTTTTGCAAATGGGAGTTGTGCCTAGTGAAGACTGAGTAGAGTCGACTCTTACAAGCCTACTTTGAATACATATCAAATTTCCTTCTCATGGAAGTAATCTTTTGCTTTATATTCTATTTTAGCTATGTGTTACCTAAACTAAGTAACACAACAACATAATACCAGATGTGTTACATAAAATGAACTAAAAAATAATAGTATATGGGTCTTGCAGCCAGTATTGTCTGTGTGCAGAGAGAGCGCCCAGGATTTTGGGTACAAATAAATGCATATTTGCCATGTATAGTAGTAAAAGAACAAGTTTTATATAGCAATGAACTGGTCTGAAGACAAACTATTATGAAAAGCTGAATTCCAAAGGGAAAGTATAAAACTAGAGGTAATCCCAAAACATGAAACAAACCCATTGAAATATATACTTGGACAAAGCTATCATTGTATAGCAGTACTTCATTTGTACACAGAGATTTGAAACATATCTGTCTGGAATTGAATATGTTAGACTGAGTGAGTTTCTTCTGCTTTTTGGTAACTGATTTGTTCTGTATCTGACAGTGCTAGTGCTTATTTTGTTTATTTGGCATCCTCCCAAGCTTCAGGTTCTGTAGGAAAAGGAAGAATTGAAACCTGTTCACAATATTTTCTCTTTTGAAAAGCTGACTCTTTTCCTGCACATTGCAGGTCCCAGGGCTAAAGAACTGCTGGAGTTCTCACACGTCTTTGCGTATGCCTACTTTCCATCTCTGTTGCATGTTCTTACTCCTACTTTTTTCATTGTTTAATTTCTCTACGTTAAAATCATTTCTAGAGTCCCATGTATATTTCTGTTTTTAATGAGGGAGAGAAAACAAGGAAAAAACTACAAATAATTATAAAAATAAAGCTGAGCGCCTGAGGGACTGTGGTTTACACGTATGAGGACAAATCTTCAGCTGGTGTAAATCAGCATAGCTCCATTGAACTCAATGCCCAACATTACTGTCTGGAATTTCTGTATGAGGAAAGAGCTTAAGAGAGTCTGGCTATGCCAACTAGGGTTTTTGGGTGTGTGCACAAATTGTCATGAGGAGCATTATTATCAAAGGGTACTGACGAGCCTAAAAAAATCAGAATGGACACTTAAGGTATGTCTACACTACAATAAAAGACCAGTGACTGACCTGGGTCAGCTGACTCGGGCTGTGGGACTATAACATTGTAGTGTAGACACTGGGCTTAGGCTGGAGCCTGGGCTCTGGTACCCTTCCCTCTTGCAGGGTCTCGGAGCCTGATCTCCAGCCTGAGTCCAAATGGCTACACTGCAATTTTATAACCCCGCAGCCCAAGCAAGCCCGAGTTAGCTGACTAGGGCTAGCTGCAGCTGTGCCGCGGGTCTTTTATTGCAGTGTAAACATGCATCCTCTGTCTGTCACTAAGGAGGATCATCAACCAGCACGACTGTCGCAATCTCTCTGCCATACCCAGGACAAAAGCCAAAGTGAAAGAATCAGAGAAATCATAGGATGACAGATGATATCAGAATTGCCTTACTTCATGCTTCTCAATAACCTAACCCTAAATGGGAAGGTTAGGGACAAGGCTGTAATGATGATTTGTCAGGCAAGAGACTTCCAGCTGCATATATGTAGGAAGCTGGCAACACACTATCCTGCAGGGAAGAGTTAACAGTCTCTGCAGTTTTGGTCTCTGCTAGATTTTATTAGCCATGTGGGGTATGTCTGGTTGCATGAAGAAGCTCCTCCGTGACCTCTAGAGCTTTCTCAAACGAAAATGACTGAAACTCAGCTAGGTGATATGTTGTATTTCTTTCTCCACCTGCACTATAGCCACAGAATAGGACTTAAATTTACTTATCGCTATCAGACTCTGAACATGATTTCTTCCATCAATGCTTTAGCTTCCTCTCTTCACGCCCCATTTGCCAATTGGGGATATCAGACTGGAAAAGTGTGTTCCTTTCTTTTACAAAATAAACGTAAGGGACAGGATTATATTATTTCTTGAATTTTATTCCCCTTGGTGTTTTTATTTGGATTACATGGACAATTTTTCTGAATCACTTTCTAACTGTTGTGTACAGCTTCTATTATTGCAATGGAAATATCTTTCCCATCTCATGGCCTTTGTTCTGCACAGATCTCCTTCCTACTGTTTCCTTTGTACCTTTCTCCCACTCTGCTCTTTATGTCTTGCTCCATGCTGCACCCCAGGCTTGAAACACTCTCCTACTTCTTGTGTAATAAACAGCCCCAAGCATCCCGTGCAGCAAGTGTTAAGCCAGTATCCTAACAACACATAGAAAAACACACTCACACTCTGTATGACCGCATCCACTTTAAGGGAAGCTAGAAGTGCTGAACTTACTCAGTGTTTTTCTGTCTCCCAGTCATTGAAGATGCATTAATGCTGGCAGTTTTAGTTCCTTCTATTTTTAGTTTATGTTGGCAGTGCTATTAGTTTTGCAATAAAAATCCTGTGGGAGGGTTGGGGCTCCCCTGAGCCCCCACCAGACCCCAATTTAAGTTGTTTATAATGTCCTTCCCCTCTTTGCAGCTCATGAGGGGTTCTCCAAATAAAATTGAACAAACAAAAGAGAGGTCCTTTTCTCTCTCTTTCCCTTGAGCGAGAGGGGAATCAGAGGAAAAGAAAAGAAAGGCAAAGGTGGTCTGTCTCTTAGGCAGCCTTTTGGGGTCACCCCTTTGGGGTTTGGCTTATCAGCTGGTATAGTGTCTTTAATTAGGGTCTACAGCCAGCTTCTTCTCTTGGGGTACCCTGCTTTTGAACTTCCCATGTAGTTTCAAGGGCAGTGAGGCCTATGACTGTCTCCCTCTTGGTCGATCTGTCCTTGTGATCAGCAGTCTATGAGATGTAGCAATCTTCTTCCTGTTCACAACCCCTTCCTATGCTAGTGTTCCTTTTTTAAGCTTCCCCGCTCCAGGCAGAGTAAGCCGTACAAATGTGCCTGGTTGGTGCTGAATGAGCCCAGAATAGCTCATTAGTCTCCTCTCTACAGGAGTGAGGGTGGGCCCCTTCATAGTGCTCCTTGGCAAAGTGGGTATTTTCCCTTTTGCTATCCTCTGGAGTGTACTGTGTGAGCAGCTCCAACTGTCTGTGTGTCCCACTCCTTTCAGAGGGGCCAGGTTATGGAGTGAAATTTAAGGGGGAAAAACAGGCCCAGAGACAGCAGGGCACAGACACTCTTGGGTCTGCCTAACACTGCAACACCATATTTAGATATGAACGTCAAACGAGCAGGAAAAGCTTGTAGCTCATTTCAGACTCCATAGATGAGCAGAAACAAATTTTCAGAAAGTTAATCTGTCATACACATAACAAATCATTGACCCGGCACCCACTCCGATTCAGATTTTAGGGCACATTTAATAAGTAATCTCCAATGAATATTTTAACAGTTTATAAATAGATTTTGCTTGTAACTCAACAGCAATGATGTTCAATTGGTTATATCAATGAAAATTAACAATATATAGTCCTGTGCTGCATGTATACTGTGAGGCTTGCATACTTACATATTCTCAAGCAATTTAAATATTATTTTGCCCTGTCAGTCATAGACTATAATGACGGTTTTAGGAAAATAATTAAGTAGTTCTAATTATTTATGCCCTGAAGTTGCAAATCATGGACACTTTTTGTTCTAAAATGCTGACAAAATATTTTCTTAATATTTCCCATAGATGCATACACAACTTCAGAAGTGACCTACATTTGGACTTACAATGCATCTGATTCCGTACAGGTTGCACCGGATGGCTCTAGATTGAATCAGTATGATTTGCTAGGCCAAACAGTTGGAAAGGAGACCGTTAAATCGAGTACAGGTTAGTAAAATACATTGGAAGAAAAGGATAGTTGCTTTATAATAAGCAGCATAAGATGCTGGTGATATTATGTCATTCGGCTGCCAAAACCAGTATTGGCAGTAATAAGATTACTCCATTTCAGTAATATTGTATACTATGAGCAGCCTGTAAGAACAATTTGCTAATTCCTTGAAGCTTAATGAAATAGCAAGTGTCAGTGGAGGTAACTGCTCCCTATCGCTGTTTCCACAGGGCTCCTAATATCAAGGGTTTTTATGAATCTTTGTAACCCAAACCTTAGTTAAGGTGAAAGATCGGAAGTGCCATTTTTAGTCTACTACTTTCATGATGTGATTAGATTTTTTTTTCTCCTGGACAATGGATTATTAGCATTTCCTGTTGGTATATCCCAAAGGCTCATACATATAGTGGACCCTTGCATCTGCATGGAGCCCTATTGACTTAAGTGGGACTTTGTATGTCCACCAGTGTCTGCCCATACATATAAACATGCAAGATTGAAGCCTAGCATCTTTGTCATGGCACACAGTTTTTTCCTTGTAAATATAAAAATTCACTTCTAGAATATATTGTGCAGGACAAATATTGGATCTAAGTTTGCTCTCATTGAAGCCCATGACTACACTTTCCTTGAGTTCAGTGATAGTAGGATACAGCCCACAGAGTCAAAGTCAAAAAGTTCATTTACATTCAGTAGGATTTTTCTGCCTAAATAGTTTTGTAGACTGCATCTACAGACCATTTGTTTCACATATATGTACCATGCTACCTTTAATTGCCAGGAAAGTGAATTGTCTATAGAGGCTAATAGTTCATTTTATAGGGTTTTTTGTTTTTCTCTTTCACATACTAGGTGAATATACAGTAATGACAGCTCATTTTCACTTAAAGAGAAAAATTGGTTATTTTGTGATTCAGACTTACCTCCCCTGCATCATGACAGTCATTCTCTCCCAAGTGTCGTTCTGGCTGAACAGAGAATCTGTGCCTGCAAGAACAGTCTTTGGTGAGTATTCTAAGGAACACATGGCATGTGCATTAGGCAACATCTGCAGCGGTCAGTAAGATTTCTGAAACCAGCTGAAGCCCATTTAGTTCTTTTTATAGGGTGGCTTGCCCTGTATGGGCTGGAGGGCCTGGGACTAGCCAACCCTGCTTACTGAAAGAGTGGAATCAGATGATTCCCCTATAAAAAGCACTCCGAAGAGGCAAGCATGTGTGCGTGCTTAGGGAGAGCAGAGACTTTCAGGAGCAAGCAGAGTCTTGGGATTTGGGACTAAGACTCTAGCTAGGATGGGCTGGGAGCGGCCTGCTGAGGCAGGGGAGACCCTGAGAAAACATGTTTGTTGGACTTTGTTTTATTCTGAGTTTACTTTCTATGCATAAACCCAGAGTCCGAGGAGGATGCTTTTGAACACAGAAAAAGTCTGTGCAAGGGGCCTTAAAGAGGAGGGAGCAGAGGTGGGGTTCCACAGATTGACCTCTGGCCATGAGGGGGCTCAGGAGGCAGAGGAACTTGTTAGAAAGATCCGTTCTGATTCAAGTTCATGATAGAAAGTGACAAAGTGGTGTTGTTTGTAGTCCATAGAACCTTCAGGTGCAGGCTACAGATCTCCTGACAGTCCTGAGGTTTTTCGGGAGAATTAGCATATGAAAGTGGCATACAGATATTTCCTTGACTTTTTTTTAAAGGGAACAGTTTGCATATAAAGTAATAAGGTTCTAATCTTGAATGTTTTCAAGTTAAATGTTGTATTTATATTGAGGTTTGGCTCTGAAATATTTCATCTATACTATCAACAAGTGTTGGTGTAGTGTAGGTTTATATATACTTCTAGCTCTATAAACTAAGCAGAATGGAAGTCGCACATCATTTCAAAATATTGCAGTGTGCAAACTGCAGTTCTTTTTCTAGTGAACATGTGCTTCTGGGCCAAATCCTTCTCCCTCAGCCAAACCAGAGTGTGATGCAAGGAGGGAGGTAGTGAATGGGTTCAGCAGCTGAGATCAAGGAGTTCTGTGTATCTCATACACTTACATGCCCCCTGTTACTGTAGAATCTAAGTGCCTCACAATTTCGAATGTATTTATCTGCACCCCTGTGAGGTAGAGAAGGACTATTCTCTCCATTTTACAGATAGGGAACTGAGGCACAGAGAGACTACATGACTTAGAGTCATAGAAATGTGGGGCTGGAAGGGATCTTGAGATCATCTAGTCCAGCCCCCTGTGCTGAGACAAGACCGAGCATACCTAGACCATCCCAGAATGGTGTTTGTCTAACCTGTTCTTAAAAAACTTCCAGTGATGAGTATTCCATTATTTCCCTGGGAAGCCTACTCCAGTACTTATCTATTCTTATAGTTAGGGTATGTCTACACTACGAAATTAGGTCGAATTTATAGAAGTTGGTTGTTTAGAAATCGTTTTTATAAGGTTGATTGTGTGTCCCCCCACACAAAATGCTCTAAGTGCATTAAGTCGGCGGACTGCGTCCACAGTACCAAGGCTAATGTCGAGATCCGGAGCGTTGCACTGTGGTAGCTATCCCACAGTTCCCGCAGTCTCTGACGCCCATTGCAATTCTGTGTTGAGATCCCAATGCCTGATGGGGCAAAAACAATGTCGCGGGTGATTCTGGGTACATGTCGTCAGGCCCCACCCTCCCTCCCTCCCTGCCGTGAAAGCAACGGGAGACAATCATTCCGTGCCTTTTTTCAGCCCAGACGCCATAGCACTGGGATCATGGAGCCTGCTCAGATCACCGCAGCAATTATGAGCACTTTAAACACCACGTGCATTATCCTGGAGTATATGCAGGACCGGAACCTGCCAAGGCAAAACCAGGCAAGGAGGCGACAGCAGCGCGGCGACGAGAGTGATGAGGAAATAGACATGGACATAGACCTCTCACAAAGTACGGGCCCCAGCAATGTGCAAATCATGGTGTTAATGATGCAGGTTCATGCCGTGGAATGCCGATTCTGGGCCAGGGAAACAAGCACAGACTGGTGGGACAGCATAGTGTGGCAGGTGTGGGACGATTCCCAGTGGCTGCGAAACTTTTGCATGCGTAAGGGCACTTTCATGGAACTTGTGAGTTGCTTTCCCCTGCCCTGAAGCACCAGAATACCAAGATGAGAGCAGCCCTCACAGTTGAGAAGTGAGTGGCAATAGCCCTGTGGAAGCTTGCAATGCCAGACAGCTACCGGCCAATCGGGAATCAATTTGGAGTGGGTAAATCTACTGTGGTGGCTGTTGTGATCCAAGTAGCCAACGCAATCAAAGTGCTGCTGGTATCAAGGGTAGTGACTCTGGGAAACGTGCAGGTCATAGTGGATGGCTTTGCTGCAGTGGGATTCCCTAACTGTGGTGGGGCGATAGACGGAACCCATATCCCTGTCTTGTCACCGGAGCACCAAGCCAGCGAGTACATAAACCGCAAGGGGTACTTTTCAATGCTGCTGCAAGCACTGGTGGATCACAAGGGAAGTTTCACTAACATCAGTGTGAGATGGCTGGGAAAGACATGATGCTCGTGTCTTCAGGAACTCTGGTCTGTTTCAAAAGCTGCAGGAAGGGACTTTCTTCCCAGACCAGAAAATAACCATTGGGGATGTTGAAATGCCTATAGTTATCCTTGGGGACCCAGCCTACCCCTTAATGCCATGGCTCATGAAGCCATACACAGGCAGCCTGGACAGTAGTCAGGACCTGTTCAACTATAGGCTGAGCAAGTGCAGAATGGTGGTAGAATGTGCATTTCGATGTTTAAAAGCTGCGCTGGCACAGTTTACTGACTCGGATAGACCTCAGCGAAACCAATATTCCCATTGTTATTACTGCTTGCTGTGCGCTCCACAATATCTGTGAGAGTAAGGGGGAGACATTTATGGCAGGGTGGGAGGTGGAGGCAAATCACCTGGCCGCTGATTACACGCAGCCAGACACCAGGGCGGTTAGAAGAACACAGCAGGGCGCGGTGCGCATCAGAGAAGCTTTGAAAACCAGTTTCATGACTGGCCAGGCTACGGTCTGAAAGTTCTGTTTGTTTCTCCTTGATGAACCCCCCATCCTTCCCCCCTTCCCCGGTTCACTCTACTTCCCTGTAAGCTAACCACCCTCCCCTCCCCCCTTCGATCACCGCTTGCAGAGGCAATAAAGTCATCGTTACTTCACATTCATGCATTCTTTATTAATTCGTCACACAAATAGGGGGATAACTGCCAAGGTAGCCCGGGAGGGGTGGAGGAGGAGGGAAGCACCGGGTGGGGTGGGGGAGGAGATAAGGACAAGGACACACTGCACTTTAAAATTTAAAACTTATTGAAGGCCAGCCTTCTGTTGCTTGGGCAATCCTCTGGGGTGGAGTGGCTGGGTGGCCGGAGGCCCCCCCCACCGTGTTGTTGTCTGGGTGAGGAGGCAATGGAACTTGGGGAGGAGGGCTGTTGGTTACTCAGGGGCTGTAGCGGCGGTCTGTGCTCCTGCTGCCTTTCCTGCAGCTCAACCATACACTGGAGCATATCAGTTTGATGCTCCAGCAGCCGGAGCATTGACTTTTGCCTTCTGTCAGCAAGCTGATGCCACCTATCCTCTTCAGCCCGCCACTTGCTCTCTTCAGCCCGCGATTCAGCCCGCCACCTCTCCTTGCGTTCATATTGTGCTTTTCTGCACTCTGACATTGTCTGCCTCCACTCATTCTGCGGTGCTCTGTCAGCGTGAGAGGACATCCGAGAACATATCATCCTGAGTCCGCCGTTTTCTAATCTTCACTAGCCTCTGCGAAGGAGAAACATTTGCAGCTAGTGGAGGAGAAGGGAGAGGTGGTAGTTAAAAAGACACATTTTAGAGAACAATGGGTACATTCTTTCACGTTAAATCTTGCTGTTCACATTACACAGCACATGTGCTTTCGTTACCAGGTCTCAGCTTTCGTTACAAGGTCTCATTTTTCCTCTTATAATGAGGGCCTGCCAGTTTGGTGTGAGAGATCACTCACACAGTGCCAGGCAACAGAATTCGGCTTGCAGGCAGCCATAGTAAGCCACAGTCTTTTGGCTTTTTTAACCTTCATAACAGGTGGGAATGGTTTCAAACAGCAGCGCCCTCATTTCCCGTACCAAGTGGCCGTTGGGTTGGCCATTTAAAATGGGTTTGCAATTTAAAAGGAGGGGCTGCGGTTTCTGGGTTAATGTGCAGCACAAACCCAACTAACCCCTCTTCCCTCCCCCCACACTCAATTCTCTGGGATGATCACTAATAGCGGGGAACATTTCTGTTCAGCAGAGCAGGAATGGGCACCTCTGAATGTCCCCTTAATAAAATCACCCTATTTCAACCAGGTGACCGTGAATGATATCACTCGCCTGAGGATAACAAAGAGAGATAAGGAATGGATGTTGTCTGCATGCCAGCAAACGCCGGGACCATACGTTGCCATGCTTTGTTATGCAATGATTCCAGACTAGTGCTACTGGCCTGGCGTGGTAAAGTGTCCTACCATGGAGGACGAATAAGGCAGGCCTCCCCAGAAACCTTTTGCAAAGGCTTTGGGAGTACATCAAGGAGAGCTTTCTGGAGATGTTCCTGGAGGATTTCTGCTCCATCCCCATACACATTAACAGACTTTTCCAGTAGCTGTACTGGCCTTGAATGCCAGAGCAAATTAATCATTAAACACGCTTGCTTTTAAACCATGTGTAATATTTACAAAGGTACACTCACCAGAGATGCCTTGTGTGCCCTCAAGGTCTGGGAGCACGCCTTGGATGGGTTTCGGGGTCCAGGGTGAAAAACGTATCCTGGCTGTTGGGGAAACCAGTTTCTCTGCTTCCTTGCTGTGAGCTATCTTCAATGTCTTCATCGTCATCTCCCTTGTCCCCAAAACCCGCTTCCGTGTTTCGTGATTCTCCATTGACAGAGTCAAAGCACAGGGTTGGGGTAGTGGTGGCTGCACCCTCTAGCATGGCATGCAGCTCAGTGTAGAAGCAGCATGTCTGTGGCTCT